CCCCAAAACCCCAAAACCCCATGATTAGATACTCAGTTTTAATATTGGTTTTAATATTTGACAAAGAAAACTATTATTATTAAAATTTAGTTTATTGATGTATCAACAAAATATCAGTTAAAGTCAAATAAGATTTGATAAACCAGAACCAATCATGTCAGTAAAAAGAGAAGGGGGTCTATTCAGACTGTACTTCAGAAAGAATAGAGGTTAACTCTCAGATTCAGCCTAAACTCAAAATTAATATAATGATCTTGGCATGGATTAGGGAATTTCGGCTCCCATAGAATATGATCCAACAGTTCAAAAGCTACCTTTTGCAGATTTAGTTTAAATGATGCCCTGTATGACTGAAATAAAGAAGAAGCTAGAGTAAAAGAGAGCACTTAACTAACAGAAAGTACCACCCAGATAGTAATCTTAAAGAGGAAAAAGAAGAAAATCATAGAGTAGTAGTACTTTTAGTCAGTCGAACGTCTTGACAGGGCTTGAAGATGATGAAATTGATATTGAACTTAATAGAATCTAGCAGGAAATTCTGGAAGATGCTAGATTTAACCCTGTTCTGCAATCTTAAAGAATAAGGGAGGCAAAATAAGCTTCGGAACCATTGAACTCACTATCCCACTACGAAAGAATGCTCAAAGGAGATAAGGTGCTTCTTACTCATGAGGATGAATTGATTGAAATTAACAAGAATTTCTTATTTGATGAAGTCTGGGAAGATGACAGTGAGGATGACTCAATTTCTGATGACAAAGTAGAGCAAGCTAGTGATGATGAAGAAATTACAATGAACAACAAAAAGAAGAAAAAGAATAGAGATGAAGATGTTAAAGAGGAGGACTTTGAGGGTATGAGCTCAGATGATGATGTTAATATGGATGACTTGGAGAATGAATCGCTCTCAGCTGATAAAAATGCCAGGAAACTCAATAAATCTAAGAAAACTCGCAACAATGCTCAAGATGCTGATCTTGGGGATGAGAACGAGGATCCTGATACTATATTCATAGATAATTTGCCAAGTGATGAGTTTGAAATAAGAAGGTAGCTGTAAGATGTTAAAAGGTACATTAAATAGTTTGAGATAAGATTCTTTGAGGAGGAAGATTCTGAGAAAGAAGAGGAGCTCAAAAAAATTACTGATATTGGCAAGCATGAAGAAGCACTTCAGGTTTTTAAGGATTTTTGCCATTTAAAGCATTTCTGGTGCATGCCTTTATCCTCTGATGTAAGAAATATTGACTTCGAAATGCTGATTGCTTAGCAAAGACTAAACAGTGGTGGAAGCTTATTCGATGTTATCACTTGTGATCCACCTTGGTAACTTTCAAGTGCTAATCCAACAAGAGGAGTTGCAATTGCTTACGATACATTAACAGATGGAGAGATATTAAATATACCTTGGGCTAGATTGCAGGATAGTGGCTTTATCTTCATTTGGGTTATTAATGCTAAGCTTAGATTCGCTCTTCAATTAATGGAAGAGTGCGGCTACAGATTGATTGATGAAATTGCTTGGGTAAAACAAACATGTAATGGCAAAATTGCAAGAGGTCATGGTTATTATCTTTAGCATGCAAAGGAGACTTGCCTCGTTGGAGTGAAAGGGAATATGAGAGGGCGCTGCAAATTTAATTTGGAAAGTGATGTGATATTCAGTGAGCGAAGAGGTTAATCGCAAAAGCCAGAGGAGATATATGAAATAGTCGAGGCTCTTGTTCCTAATGGCTATTATTTAGAGATATTTGGACGTAGAAATAATCTGCATGATGGATGGGTGACATTGGGAAATGAGCTTTGAGTTCACTTCTTTAATTTATTTTGACTTTATTTTGATAAATTTATTTAATGATCATTATTGTGAAGTTATTAGCCTATTACTTTTTACTAAAGGGGGTTTTGGGGTTTTGGGG